CCCTCTTTGGAGAGTCTCGAGCTGGCTGAGGTAGAATTACATGACAGAGGAAGGCGATCGTTAGACCGTCAGTTTGGCTCAGTTTCCCTGAAACAACTTATTTCCGCTGCAATCGTGTTGAAGATGAAGGAGAAAGGCTGCAGTGATTGACGAGGTCAATCGGCCTGTAATGAGCTTGTCAGTTGTTTTACTGCACAGCCCTTAAAACGGCTTGTTAAAACTACATTATCCTGCATTTTCACATGTGTTCTCACACGCCATGTGTGCTCCTTTTGAATGTGGCGTGACCTCTGTTTCTGTGCCGGGATTCGAGTGGCCACTCGTACCCGGTCTAGTGTAAAGAGGAGGGAGCCCAGCCCGGATATGATGTGAGCCTCTTTAACCTCACGCACTTGAGTCAGAATTGAACGGGACGCCTCGAGGGGAGAGAAACAACAAGTGTTAAAACAAGCGGGGATTGTCCTGCGCCGCCCGCCATGCCAGAAGCAAAGGAGACGGGATTGAGTGAAGGGCTCTACACATGAATGTAAGCGGCCATCTCTCTCTTTCGCTCGCACACTTTCCCCTCCGTCTGAAGTGCAGGCTGACTGTGAAAGATGGCGGTTGCACGCCGCCTTTTACTGCCGCTCTAAACGCCCATTAAAGTCTCATCAATTCATCCCTGCACATTTTAGTCCTCAGCACACCTCCCCACCCCGTCTGTCTGTGTGCTGTGGGTCTCACAGGGAGTCTCATCATCACCAAATCAGAGTGTCTAACAGATTTCATTAATACAATATCAGATATTTCTCACTTGGTCCACATGTCAGCTTTGAGCTACACATTTCATTATGTTTTATTCTCGAAATCATAATCATTAACTTTGGGTTCAAATTGAAATAAAACAAACCAAATTAATTATTTTACAGCATTTTTTTTGCGATGGTGAAAATCAGTGGTTATATATTTAATCCCTGCATACAAACCTATACTAACACACAAACACACATCGTGCTCTGTAAGAGGTGTGTGATCGCACTTATCATCCCCTCAATAATGTGAATATTTAACAATTATGGTTTTTTTGTCTTTTAAAAGAGAAACTAATAATGAAACTGATGATATCATGTTTTCTATATTTTTAAAAAAAGCACAATGGCCGTGACAGACGTGAAGACAGAATTGTGAGTTTCCTGATGTTTTTGACCCCTGAAATTTCAAGTTTTTTAAAAAAGCACACCACACGGCGTGAAAAAGAGGGAGAAATAAAACCATAACAGCCACGTCGATATGATAAGCAGAAGAACTCAAAGAAAATATATAAGTGGAAATGGCATTAAAAAAAAACCATTAAAGACTCAGAATGGACAAAAATCCTGAGACACCACAGCCTGAAGTGAAAACAAATTAAAACAGAAAGTCATCTTAAGTTGTCAGTTATGGGACTCTCACAGAGACGGTCGCTTCAGGTTTTAATGCGTGCTCAGAGAAGATTTTAGCAGGATAACTAAAAGCTGGTTTCAAACCGAGCTTCTCCAGAACCTTACAGAGCATCATGCGTGCTGCCTCCTCCACGCTCTGTTCAGGCAGCTCACTCACCTAAAGCACATGGAGTGTGAATGCATCTGAAGCTGAGTATTTCCTGCTTTACGCTCAGACTGGTCGATTATTCAAATATTAAAATTTCACTTACATTTGTCTTCCAGTCAGAAGGAAAATCATGTAATCAACAAAAAATCTGTTTGATTAATTTTCTCTTTAAAGATTCAATCTTTTTTGTGCACCTTAGCGCACCTACAGTAGTGCGCTTTCACCTCTCCCTAAAAGCTTAAATCTAATCACTGTTTAGTTCAGCTCAAGCCAAAATGATTCAAAACACCCTTTGGTCAATGAGATCAACAAGAAAAAAAAGTTGTTGGAAGGATGTCGTCTGCAGCAGATTAGGTTTTAGCTTCAGCTCTTAAATTTTAGGTTCTTGGGCCGAAAGTTCAATTTAAAAAATTTGAACTTGAACAGAAAATATCTCACCCTGACTCGGTCCAAAATTAATGTGTGAAAAACAACTTTGCAAAGCTGAGCAGGGAGAACATGACTCAATTCAATTCAATTCAATTCAATACAATTCAATTCAATTCAATTCAATTCAATTTTATTTATATAGCGCCAAATCACAACAAAAGTCGCCTCAAGGCACTCACGATTTTCTATTTACATTTAGTTCATCAGTCAGGGAAAAGAGCCGCAGCTGGTGACGGACTGCCTGTCAGGAGCCTGGAGGACATTTCCCGGTAGCCCGAGGCTCATTTTGGCTCGCTACAAACTCGAACGGCAATAAAGCAACAGGCAGGCAGGAGTTAACAGGCCTTTCACAACCGACTCATCAAGATCGACTCCCGCTCTCGCACACAGACTCTCTCACTACCATGTCCACGACGCTCAGGCGTGCACATGCTTCTGCTCCTCTGCCAGTAATGTTTACGTTTTTCAAAAGAAAATGAAGGGAGGGGGAGGAGAGAGAGAAAAGAAGAAGAAGATGAAAAAGGCCCAAAGATGCAGTCACAGACTGAAATGACAGTCTGAGGCCAGCTCAGTGAAAACAGGAGCAAAAACACACACACTCTGAATATATGGGTGTCGTTCTCAACTATTTTTCATAATCCTTTAATATAATCATTAAGCTCACTTTTGTATTTTCATCTGCTTTTAAAAATAAAATAAAATCAAGTAATTGTTTTGTGTCGATTAGCTAATATCGCCAGATTCCTCTTGACTCTTTTTATTGGTGCCTCCACAGCCTTGGAATTGACATTGACATAAAGATGAATTGGACACCTATTTTTTTGTTCCATGTCCCAATTCCCATGGCTATTCTAAAAATTGTAGCCTAAATGGAGTCAGATTGTCAGCCTAAATTGCTTTTTCATTATTTATTTTTCTTCTGCCGATCTACCACCAACAGCCAAGCATCCACGCATTCATCTTCTGGAGGTTCTGTACACTTTCTGGATTATTATCTGGATTACAATCAACTAACTGAAGTGATTGAAGGCACATATTCAAAGATTTGATGGCCAAGTGCTCATCGGTACGTCTGCAAAGTGTTGTCTGACGCTCCCTGCAGCAGTTCAGGGGTTTACACGGCACTTAAGGGAGCAAGCAGCAGCTATCCTTCATCCACAGCAGCTAAATTCCAGTGCAAACATTTTTCCGCTCAACCACAGAGGCCTCAGAAGCCCCCCACACACACACACTCCACAGCTACTGCATCCCGACGCTGGCCGCACTTTGTGCCATCACGAGGTGACAGGCCGCTGAATGGCTTCATTGGTACAGTGCAGACTGTGAGAGGAATTCTCTCTCTGTCTTTCAACTTTTGAGTTTACTCAGCAGGAGTGAGTGGTTGTGGTGTTGGAGAAGGAGGAGGAGGAGGGTGGTGGTGGTACAGGGGTGCTCCTCCCCCTCCTCAGAGTCACTTCACCCTCCAAACCCTCCTTTCTGCCCCTGTACGCTAGACTTCTTCGGTATTTGCTTTAAAAAAAAAGAAAAGAAAAAAGAAAAGTACCCCCTCCTCCTCTTCTTCTTCTTCCAACACACACACACACCTACGCACACACACACACACATTGACTCCTTTACCAGTATGTGGTTCATTAAATTTTCTGCAGACTTCCAAAAAAGACACACACACACACACACACACACACAAAACAAAACAAGACAAAACAAAACAAAAAACAAGAAGTAGATCAATAAAATAGGGCCTGTGTGAAACGGGGGGCTTCAGCAACACACGGGGGCTGTGGAGATGAAAGTGACATGGCCACTATAGGGTCTATGAACGGCACAGAGCAGAGCCCCCAAACTGAGGCTGAATGAGCTGAATAGGCTCATCCATTCTTCCCTCCTTTCACTCTCCATAGGCCTGAACTGTTGGAACTCTTCATTCCTCACAATGGCCAAACGCACTAAAACTTTTTCTTTTTTCTTGTCATGCAAATCACCTCAGCCCTGACCGCCAGTGTCATCATGTGCAGCGGAAAACACACATGAACCTTCTCAGTTTTTAAAAAAGGATCACAAGTGCTGGCATCATCTGAACCTTTAAAAAAATCTACAAATTCTTTAGAAAAAGCTTCATTTTGTCCTTAAAGTCCAACAATTTCCCAATTTTCCTAAATCTGTGTCTCATTAACATACAAATAATTAAATAAATTCTAATAATAAAGCAGATTTTCAAATGTGACTTAGAAAAATTCCCACCAAAGACGGGGCTTCTTTCACACTAACATTTAGGCCAAAGCAAGTAAGAAAAAAGGGGGACTCATAAAAGTCCACCCATGACTTTGGAGATCATTAGCAGCGCCTGTTAGATAGGAGGGAAAGCCAACAGCAAATATAGCTGCTAAAGGGCCCCACAAAGGCGTGAAGTGTTTGTTGACTGCTCAGGCTGCAGAGCAAACAGTAAACTTTGAATCTTTCAACAATAAGTACACATCTCCCACAGTCCCAGGCACTGATGTGTCCACGCTGCTGCTGCATTCCTCAGCTCGCTGTTTGATTTTTGCTCCTTTGTACCATTACAGGATTAGAAAAGTGGAGCGTGTGGCTGACATCAGAATAACTACAATGAAGCAGGAAAAAAGATATCAAAGGTTATTTTTGCTTGAAATGAAACAAATGAAAAGAAGATAAAAATACAGGCGACTTTGGGCACGTTAGTGCTAAACTGTGAAAAGTGAAGCAGGAGGATTGGCGCCGGGTATTCTGATCACATCTCTTCCCATATGGATCAAGTTGCAGGAGCAAAAATTTTTTGGATTCCTGTGTCAGATAAGTTCAAAGTGCAAATGAGATGTGAAGCTGCCCTAAAAGCTTCATCTGCCGCTGACACGCAAGGCAGCCGAAACAGAGGAAGAGGAGGAGGAGGAGGAACAGCAGTGAAACACTTTCTAACACAAGAGAGAAAAAAAAACAGCAACATTAAAGCGACTCCAGTTAGCATCAGCACGAACTTCTCCTACCTTCACTGACGTCTCTTTTTCTCCTCGAAGCTCTTCCAGCTCCGTGTTTTTGCCGGGGGGTGGGGGACTGTGCCAGGAGTCGAGATTCCCGTAAACTAGAACCGAGCTGGCACCAGCACTGAGCGACGCTCTCCAGGCTGGACGCAAAACTCCATGAACCGAGTTAAGAAAAGTTTGGAAAGCCGCAAAGTTTGCGCGACATTACACTCCTCTCTCTCTCGATCGCTCTCTCTCTCTCTTTCGTCTCCTCTGTCCCGATTCAGAGCGCAGTGTCTAACTTTTTCTTACAATCCATCTTCCTGAAGAGGTGCGCTTGTGCGTGCGTGCTGTGCTGTGCTGTGCGCGCTCTCAGCTAACTAACCTCATGCTTAAGTTTCTTCCTTGATGCGCGTAAAAGTTTGGAAGCAAACGCGGTTTGTGTGCGTCTCACGGCAGTTGTTGCAGAGACATGCGGTGCTGTTGAGATCTTCAGACTGCTGATCTGTTTTCAATCCGACCCCCCTCCCTCTCTCTCTCTCTCTCTCTCTCTGTCTCTCTTCCCCCCCTCACCATCCCTCCTCTCACTCCCCGTGCTCCCTGGTGAGTTGGGCCATTTGCTGCACCAGATGGGCCGGGCTAACTCAATCCAGCAGTTGCAGAAAGCAGGGGAAAAAGTTAGCTTAAGTTTCGGTTATTGCCCGGTTTTTCACAGGCTTCATCTTTAAGCGTGTCTATCTGAGCCGGGTTTAGACTTCACGCTTAAAATGCGCAAATCTGCATCAGCTGGAGCGTTGATGTTGGAAAAGAAATAAGCGCGTGGTAATTTTCCCTTTTGGGAGCAGTGATTTCTTTGAGTGGGTGGACACATTATCAAAGCGCTCTTTTATCATGAACAAACCAAACGCGCATTCAGCAACAGATACATCCACAGCCTGTAGTTCCAGTCACAGCTTGTTGATTTAAAAAGTAGACAACAGGCAATCTTCATAATTCATGCTTTGTTTACTTCCATGCTGGCTTTTTCATCTTGGTTGGAACCTTTTATTGAGCGGTGCAGCGGGGGCAGCACGGTGCGGACAAACGGCATTTATGATGTGATGCATGTACAGTAGATTTCACCTCACATAACCCAGCCAGTGGCAGAGCGTTCAAAGGCTCATTTTGTGGTTCTTTTTTCAAAATATTTGATGTTTTTTTAAGGAAAGTGACGATGTGGAAAGAGGAGACAGAAACTGAGGGAAGCCAGGTCCACTCTGCACAAGTGCGTGAAGTTTACTTTTAATCAAATCTGAATTTAGCTGAAGAGTAAAAAGACTGAACTCTAAATCCTGCTTAAGTACAGATTCATGATAAAATAAATAAATAAAAAATACCCATAGTATCCAAAGTTGAAGGCCTTAATCTTTTTGAGGCCTTCAAAATGTTTTTCCATGTGAGCACCACTTTAATGCTGAAGTGCCTCATGGTGAAGCTGATTTACTAACTTTATCAGCCACAAAATGCCAAGGCGCATCTTATTTGTTAAAAAAAGAGGAACATGGCTCCCATGAAGGTGTCACAAGGTCTCTAAAACATTTAGATTTACAGAAACATGAATGCAGGACCTAGTGCTTCCCAGTGGGACACTGCTCAAAGTGCCACATTGGCATCCTTTCCCCAAGTTCACACCATGCAGCACCTGACCATCCACATAATGCAAAAAAAAATAAGAACCGTGCTCCAGCTCGCCTCCTCACGTTCCGGTCTTAAGTGAATTTGCGTTTAACACAGGCTTGCCAGAAGCTGCAGAGCTCTGTGCATTCTGACTCTTTCACACATGGAACATGGAGAATTTCAGGAGACTCAGTAGTCCTTTTTCACAGGCAGGACATAGTCTTACTACAGTAAGTGCCTGTGTGGTTTAGGTGAAGCTGCCTCATGGAGCACTTAATGAAACAGGTTATTAGCTGCTTTATTTGCACATCAGTGCACAGACTTTGTACCAGGTATCTTGCAGGTTAAAGTCTGAAGAACACTCGATCCATCAGCATCGGCCTTGTCAACATTTCTAAAAGTCCTGTTTTTAAAAAGCTGGGTGCTGCAGAATGTGTGAAAACAGAAAACAGAAATTATATATATAAACTCATCAGTTTTCCATTTCAAATAAAATATAATAATAACTGAGTTTTCATGTCCTTTCTGCAGGACTGTCTCCACCAGTCTGCATTTGGAAACGTCCCCTAGCAAGATACTGAACCCCAAAGCTCCTGATGCATGCTTTGCATCAGAATGTGAGTGGCAGTTAAAAAGTACTAGAAGTGCAGCGCGTGTGTGAAGTCTGAGTGGATAGTGAGAGTAGAAAAGTGTTACATAAATACCAGTTTACCAATGAGCTGTCCCCACTCATGACACAGTCACATACAACACTGCACAAATGTCTTGAGCTGTCACTCATTTCTTCATATTTCACTCAGAAAATGGAAAATAAGTCCAGCAGTTTATCACATGCTTATATGTTTGTATGTGTTTCCACTTTGAAACATGTGCAAACACACATGGAAATACAGCATACGAGGCAAAAACAGAGTGTGTACAATCCTAATGAGCCTGAAAGTCAATATTTAGTATGACCGCCTTTACAACACAGCCTGAACTCTCTTAGGTAGCTTTCTTGCAATTTCTGTAAGTGGTCTTCAGGAATGGTTGCCTAGTTTTCTCGAAGAAAATCTAAAGCGATTTTTTCGGTGTTGACTGCCTTTTATTCTGTTTTCTGTCAAAATGGTTCCACAAAGAGACCCTCAAATGAGAAGAGTTGCTTCAGTGGGGTCCAGAATGCGGGATTGTCATGTGGTTCATATAGATTTCAGATAGTTCCCGGAAGTGCTGTGCAGGGATTTGGAATATGTGAATATAGGGAGGCAGAGCTCTTCTTTCAGGAATTAGTCGTGAATAAAAACATTAAAATACAATAGTTGGTAATGCCAAAGTGAAGTGCATGTAGTTAGATCTCTGTATATAAATTAATAAAATATTAAAGCTCTAACATTAACTGCAAGTGTTAACAAACCTTTAACTGCAGTTTTGACATAGTTGAGCTGATCATTAAAGTGAAAAATCCGGCTGCTTTTCATTAATGTAACAGAATAAACATTTAAAAATGATTACTTACCTAGCTGACAGTTTTTTTCACGGTGGTTTAAGTAATCCCGTGATAACTAACAAGACGATAAGTGTGTCTATAAGCTAATATTTAACTTGGTCAATGAAGCTTTTTTCTTTACTGATTCCATAATGTTAGATGAAATAATATTAACATAAATGAATTCACAATTAATTATATGCTCCTGGTTATTATTATGTTTGCTAACCTAATCTGGCATCAACTATCATGCCCAAAATCTACAAGTGAATTTGATTTCATTTATTAAACATTAACATTAAACATTTTTTAAAAGTGCATTTTAAACTTCTGTGTCACTATCTCTATGGCATGGGTTGCATATAGTGCTAACTTCTGGGAGCCATTGCAAGACTTTTGAGCCGCCATTATATTAAAAAACAACTAAATACCTGAATGCAATCACTCATCGTGGTGACTTCTTGACTGTGAGCTGACTGCAGGTTTCTGCAGCCTTTAAACAGTACAGCTGCATAAGGACTGAAACTTGCAGTGCTGCCCAACAATAAGCCACAAACTCAGTTTCATGATTGTTAATTTGCAACCTGTAAATAAAATGCACTCATATGGCCAAAAACTGCAGCTCTCATTATTGGATGTCGTTGGATTGAAGTGGTTTTAGTCCGGTCGATTTAGACAACTTAAATGAAATATGGCAGGAAAATAACTATATAGCAGTTGAGTAAACAGAGACTCAAAGCTGAATGACTGGTGATGTTAGACACCGACTCACAGATGCATTCATTCTTCATCGGCTTTTCATCCCTGCGAGGCTTTCTTGTTTTTTGAGTCAATCACAGAGCCCCCTCACACACACACACGCAGTCCATAAAAGAGGCCTTTTAGCATGTTTTCGTGATCCTGCCCTGCCATTCATGTGTGGGAGAAACAAGCACTAACATGGACATCCCGGGTAACCCTGACCGCACATGTTCAGCTCCAGAGCAAAGAGAACCAGGAGAGACGGAGTCACAGGAGGGCTGTCAGGCCTAGCTAGTTTTGGGGCTCAAGATGCTACCACCTTTTGTGGCATTCTCTCTTTGCGCCTGCATCATGCCTGAGTGGCCACTGTGAAAACCAGCCTGTGCACATGAGCGTCCTCTGTGCCTGTATGTGTCCTCAAAAGAGGGTGAATGCCAGTGTCAGGCCTCTCTCCCGTGCTACTACACTCTCACAGGCAGGAATTTTAATGAGTGTTTTTTTCCCCTGATTACAGCAGAAGAATGTAACGGCAGAGATCGAACACCAAAGCTTTTGGACAGAGAATCAAAGAGGGAACAAGTATAAAAGGAAGGAGGTGAGGTGAAGACATGCGAAGGATTCAAAGTCTGACCACAAGATCATAGTTTGATCGTATTAGCTCATGCATTCTTTAGTGATGACCCCTGCAGCCCGTGATGGTGCAGCTTATTATTTGCCCGTGTTTATAGGTCACATGTTGCTTTAAATGAAATTGTTGGCCAATCTGGTGGATTTCAGTTTGATCTGAAGGTCAGTGTCTGCGTAATAGAAACTCAGCGTTTGTCTTTATAGCATACTTCTTACTGATAACTTGGCAGGTCGGTGATCCATTGCTCAATCATGCTGCTATTTTGATTTCACTTTTAGAAAACAAATCACTCCGAGATGTTTTGCAGCATTATATATTTAAGATTATTCATCATTACGTCAACTTTTCTGCATTGTTTTACATAATGAAGAAAAAAGTAATAAGCCTAAGATCTGTGAAACAAGTCAAGTTAATGTTTTTTAAATACACAGTAAAAGTTGTGGCTAAAACACATTGTCTGATAAATATACAAATATTTAGAAATCTATGTCGTATCAAAGGCAAAGTTAAAATTTCATTATTAAAGAATAATAATAATTCTTGTAAAATTATTATTTGAAAGAAGGTTTCTAATGGTTACACGTCAGCTCAGTATTAAAGCAGCATAAATTCTGTCCCAGTGCTGAGTTAAAGGATGCTTGAATAACACTGCCATGACTCACTGCACCACCCTGTGGTTCCAAGTGGCATTACACTGGGAGTACATCTCTGCAACACAACAAACCAGCGCAGTCTCACAGCAGTTTGTCAAATAGTTAAGACCGCAAATCTATTGATTTGTATCTCTGAACATACATTTTTTCATCTCCCTGAACATGACTTCTCATCTATTCAGTCACATATGAACTATTTTGTGTTTATGGTGCCCAAAATATTTTTCCCTTTTTAATGGCCAAAAGGTCGTAGGGGGTTGAGTCACACATTTGACCGATTTTCATTCGTCCTTTATTATTCTTTTTTTAATATGTTATTAATTTTGAAAAATTAATAACTTTTTAATGG